TACTATGTAATTTTAAAAAAATTATTCAGAAAATACTACTGCATTTTAAGAATGTGGCAAAAAATTAGCATCTTGAAGTTACCTGATCCTCAAGTCAAAGTCAGCATACTTGCAGTTTGTTGCCATAATTTTTTTTTAGTAGCTGGACATAAACCCACCTTAAATGTTAAAGCAATGATAACATTTGATCCCAGTCTCTGTGACAGAATGTCCTTTTTGGGATACTACAGGTATCTCAAACTCCTGTGCTACGAGTGGATAAGCAGGACTCAAGATGCTCAGAAGGAAGGAAAGGTCAAAATGTATTAAATGAAGCAACAGGAAGAAGCTGACTGATATTATCTACATTTTCTTTTATTGCCATAAGACATTTTTTGTTTCAGCAACCACTTTGGATTATCCGTGTAATTCAAGGGATTTCTGCAGTAATGAACACACTCAACACCCAGGATCAGACCTTTCGTGACCAATATCAGATGTAATGCAGTAGAGGCTTTCCAACAGTTCTGAAAAACTTTCTTCTGAATGTATTCCTGCAGGTGTAACTGATGACCATATAACAGAACTTGTACAGGTTACCCCATTGGCTTATGCAGAACTTAACAGACATTCTTGAAGATAATTTTGGCAGGTCAAGAACTAGTATAGCACCAAAACTGGAAAGAATTTACAAAGGCCACAAATCCTTCTCCCTGGGGTCTCACAGTATGTATGACAACATACATATACATTATAACAACAGTTTAACCTGGCTCTGCTAATGGAACAGCACAGCAGGTGCTGGAGTCAATACAGATACCAACATTAACTCAGTCTCAGTCATCAAGGTTGCTAAAAGAAAAGGACAGAGGCAAAACCAAGTTTCCTAACACTTTTTGCGAAGCTGCTAGCATGGTGAAACAATCCATCTGACACACACAAACACTGTATGCAGATCAATGCTACAGAGCTAAACATTTTTTCACCTCCTCCCGCCTTTTGTTTGCTGTTTATATAGCATAACTGCTTCTTAACACTGGATTCTTATTTTCCTTTCCTTGCCTTCAGTTTTTAATCTTACCAAAGGCCCTACTCGCATTAACTTAATCAGCTTCTCCTTCAAATGTAATTCAAAAAGCCTAAAAATCCTGATCTTCCCTGCATTTTCTCACTTAAGTGAAAGGAAAGCAGAACTGAAAGAATTGAAACTAGAACTATGCACAATGATTTAACTGAAATACCTATCTCAAAATTTCATCTCTACACTGCCCACACAGAGGATAATCTGTGTATGCCCAGAAGAGTAAAAGCCATTTTACAGATCATTAACTGTCACCATAGTCTTGCAAAAACACTGCATATGAACAAAAGGGAAGGACAGAGAAAGATTGCAATTTAATAAAGATATCCAACACTAGCAAAACTCTAGCACTTGCAGAGTTTAGCACTTTGCAAACAAATTACACCATGGTTTGTAATAACTTAAAGGCAGGCTTTAACAAGATGATGATTGCTAAAACCACTGCTTGGCATACAGAATTGTGACACAATCACAAGAAGAAAGTGGCATATATTTTGAGCTTACATCATCCATCTTTCAGCCCCAAAACAGGACCATCTTTACTGATGTCATCATTCCTGAGAGAGGTTTATCCAACCTGTTTTTAAAACAAGATTCTGCAACCTCTCTGAGTTATATCAATATTCGTCCTACCTAACCTAAATCCTTTCAGCTGCAATTTAAGTATCACATTACTTTTCTTATCCAAAGTGAGTACGTAGAAGAGCCTGTATGCCTCCTCAATACAGCTGCCTTTTGTAGATCTAAAGCTCAGTTATTTTCAGTTTTCTCTTGCCTAGCCCAAACACTTATGACTCCCTCTATTACCCTGGATATAATAATGTGTGCCTAGCACACAGTGTGTGTGCTAGGATCATTATTTTCTGTTAAACTTTCTTCAGCTGGCCAACATGAAGTATGCTACACAAAAATAGGCAGGTACCTTACATAAAAACAGGATTGCATCATATATTTTACAGGCCATAATTCTTCTTGTACATCCCTGTGTGATGCTGGACTTTTCTACAGTGGAAAACACTGTTGATTCATGTTCAACTTTTCATTCAGTACAATATCCAGATCCCTTCTTAAGGAACAGCTGCATAAGCTTTTTTTATCCTCATTCTATGTTTCTGCAGCTGTGTTTTTGCCCAATTGTAGTACTTCCACATCCCCGTAGGGAGCCACCACTTGCTTTTTCTTCAAACCACTTCTCTAAATTGTAAGCATGTCTTTGAATCCTAATCCTGTCCTTCAGCATGCCTCTTGCACCTCTCCATTTTATGTCACCTGCAGGTGTAACTGGCAAACTCATCTGCTGCATTGTCAAAGACCTTAATTAAAATACTTAACAGTAAAGAGACAGGAAATATTCTGCTGTGTATCACTGCCTGCTTTTCACTCAACTCTGAGAACAGAGCTTTGTAATTTTCCAGGCAGGTCTGCAATCACACTGACAATTTATTCCAGGGCATAGCTCCCCTTGTTTATCAGCTTATTAGAATGGCACGAGACAAAGCATCAAAAGCATCATTCAGCTAAGTCAAGCTATAAAACATCAACAGATCTTCCTCTAATCACGAAGTCTGTCACACTATCAGAGGAAGAAATTATATTGGTTTTTACTATATTTGTTCTTGAGCCAGCTCTTACTCATCGTCCTGTCATCTACCCTTGGCTTTTAAGCAGCACAGCAATCATTTGTTTCGGTATTTTTAGATAAATTAAAGGTAACTTGACAGGGCCAACAAATCCCTTGTTCTTCCTTTCTTCATTTTTAAAGAGTAGCATTGTGTTTGCCATTCTCCACTCTGTCATCGCACCTGCACCCCATCATTTATGAAAGGCACAGCACTGAGTTCACCTCAGGAACTGGCTGAGGCAAATTACAAGGAGCTCAGCCAGACCCCTACAAATTTAAAATAATTTCTCAAAATCAAGCATTTAAATATGTTTCATCTTAAAAAGAGGTGAGACATTGTCCTCTGGATGCACTCCCACTGGCTGCTGAAGAAGTTAACGCATCTAGCTAAAAACAGATGTTAAACTTCTAAAGCTGGAGTTAGAAGACACAAACCCTAAACTCCATGTCCTGCTGTATTAATTTTCACTAACAATCTAGCTAGCCAAAATCTGACATAACTAGTAATTTGGGTTCACTCTCTGATACAATATACAAAAAGCCTTATCTTCCTGATCTCATTAGTTTATTGGTTAAAAAAAAAAAAAAAAATCCCTTTGCAATTACTCTGATTCTTTCCTCCTTTAACATGCTTATTTCATCATGTCTTTTTCTTATACCATCCAGTTCTTGCATCAGAATATATAACTGTTATTACTCAATACGCTTCTCTTTTCATTCATGGTTATTTTACTGAGTCAAGCTACAAAGTCCCACATTACCATACCAGTCAACTGAATTATTCTTCCAAGCATATATGAAGTAAATATATTTGAACATATGACATCTCTTTTTGTTTATTCACTTGATATCCTATGTTAGAATAATGATTCTCTGCTTTGCAGCACTGTGATCTGCTTACCCTTTCTCCTCCATTCCCCATGCTCAATATTCTAACTGTGAAAAACATGAAAATTAATCTATCTCTTTTTGTTTTCCCTCCCACCATGCCACAATTTACTTCAGAACACTCACTAACAGAGACGTTAGAAATACATCCTTCTCCCTTCATGAGGGGATAATAGAATCATAGAATGGTTTGGGTTGGGAGGGACCTTAAAGATCACCTAGCTCCAACCCCCCTGCCATGGGCAGGGACACCTCCCACCAGACCAGGTTGCTCCCAGCCCCGTCCAGCCTGGCCTTGAACCCTTCCAGGGAGGGGGCAGCCACAGCTGCTCTGGGCAGCCTGTGCCAGCGCCTCACCACCCTCACAGCAAAGAATTTCTTCCTTACATCTAATCTAAATCTACCCTCTTTCAGTTTAAAACTGTTACCCCTTATCCTGTCACTACACTCCCTGATAAAGTGCTCCTCCCCACCTTTCCTGTAGCCCCCTTTAAGCACTGGAAGGCTGCTATCAGGTCTCCCAGGAGCCTTCTCTTCTCCAGGCTGAACAACCCCAACTCTCTCAGCCTGTCCTCACAGGGGAGGTGCTCCAGCCCCCTGATCACCTTCATGGTCCTCCTCTGGACCTGCTCCAACAGCTGTGTGTCTGTCTCGTGCTGGGGGCCCCAGAGCTGGACACAGGACTGCAGCTGGGGTATCACGAGAGTGGAGCAGAGGGGGAGAATCCCCTCCCTCGACCTGCTGGCCACAATTCTCTTGATGCAGCCCAGGACACGGTTGGCTTTCTGGGCTGTGAGTGCACACTGACAGATCATATTCAGTTTTTCATACACCAATACCTCCAAGTCCTTCTCCTCAGGGCTGCTCTCAATCAACCCACTGCCCAGCTTGTACTTGTGCTTGGGATTGCCTTGACCCATGTGCAGGACCTTGCACTTGGTCTTGTTGACAGTATACACAGAAAAAAAGCAAGGACAGAAACACAAAGTGCTCAGACTCACAATTTTTACATCTCTTTCCTTACAAATCCACCTACCATGTCAGTTGGAAGATAAAGACCTCACCTGTTGTTAATTCAGCTTTGTTAATTTTGAATTACTCATTTCCTACATTTATGTCTTCATAATGTGAATAGACTGTCTCTAGTTTGTAACTGATATTCTGTCTTTTTCACAGTACTTCCCAAAAACAACCAAGGATCTGTGATGATTACAGCTTTCTTTAGAAAGCAAGCTAGTTGAAACTGGCTTGGAACTGGAAAAAAGGATACTACAAAATAGTGCAGCAAATAAAACCATCAGATAAGTCTCCTCCCTTGTGTACTTGCTATTCACATGCTTTTGTGTTAAGGGGATGCAAAACTAACACAAGCACAAAATTACTTATTCAGTGGTAATCTGTAAACATGTTTACAAAAGCTGCACAACTTACGCAATCTTGGCACACACCGAGCACTTCCACTGTCCATCAGTTCCCACTACACGACATTTATTGCAAACTCGAAGTTTGCAGGCTTGACACAGGTCTCCTCTGTCAAAGATTAAGCCCAGGCTTTTCTGACAGCGAACACAGACCCTGCTGTTGTCCTGTTGACAGTGACGGTTTCCACCTTTTCTTCTCACTTCCAGAAGCTCATTCTTTAATTTCCTGGAAGAAAATACATTATTTTAATTTGGAGATACAATTCAATGATCTGTAAAAACTTCTTAACAGATTAAGATTTAGTGCTAAAAACTATAAGACACAAATAAGTACAATACAAATGGGGGTTTTATATTTGCTGTATTTTTTTTACACACATATGACAAAGAAGAACATATCTATCCTCCACCTCTCAGACGTGCAGTAACTACAGACAGCTAAGCATTTCTGGACAATTGGTAAACCATCTTTGCTTGTCCCTCATCAATAATTCAAGTCATGCTGAGCCTAGGTTTACAGCAGCTCAAAACTGGGACTGTCCTGTGAATCCACAGAAGGGAAAGAAAAAAATTTTCCTGTAATTAGTGTGCATTTAATACTATGCCAGTGTAGAGTTAGCTAAGAATGCATATGCAATTCTGCACTGGCTATTCAAAGCCTAAGAAAACCCCAAACCAAAATATATAGATAGATAGTGGTGTTATGCTGTGATGCCACAAAAAAAAAAAAAAAAGAGCATGTCAGTTCAAATAATGCAACCTGCAGATTACCAGTTCTACCACTGACTCTGCAGGATAAAAATATTTGCATTTAAGACCTAATTGTGAAGGCTGCAATTTCAATGGTGCACAAGTCCTTAACGACAAAATAACTGTAAGTGAGATTTAAATACTATACTTCAAAAGAAGGAATTTGAAGAGAAAGAGTCAAGAAGGATGACAGGAGAGGCAGTTTCCTATGCCTATTTTCCCAAACCAAGGACTCAAGCAGGACTCCATCATAACCTAAAACTCTCACTAATAGCTATTCGTACCTTGATTCCTTGACCTCAACTCCAGAGCTTTCCCTCCTGTGCCACAGCCTCTAGCTCTTACCCCTCCCACCCAATCCACAGAACCATCTAGGTTGGAAGGGAATATTGGAGGTCACCTAGTCTAAACTCACAGCCAAAGCAGGACCAACCAGACTGGGTTGATCAAGGCTTTGTCCAACTGAATCTTGAATAACAGAGTAACTCCAATTAAAGAGTCTACAGTGTCTCTGGGCACCTGTTCCAGAACCTAACTTTACAGGTTTTGAAAAATAAAACAAAAACGAAAAAACAAAACAAAACAAAAACCCAAATAAACAAAGAAACAAACAAACAAAAAAAACCCCAACATCTTCCTAGTATCTAACCAGAATCTCCCACTCTCCAGCTCGTTCCCACTGCCTCTTCTTTCACTGTGTATGTCTGAAAGAAGTCTGGCTCCCCTTTTTCTACACCATCACACCAAGGACTTGAAGACAGCAATCACATCTCACTTTTGCCTTCTCTTCTGAAGGTTAAGCAAACCCAGTTCCCTCTGCCACTCCTCTACGCCATCTGCTCCAGCCCTCCTATTCATCTTGACGGCCCTCCAATGAACGTGCCCCAGTATGTCAATGCCCCTCCTGTTCTGGAGGGCCCCAAACTGTATTCCAGATGTGGTCTCACAATTGCTGAATAGAGGGGGATAATCACTGGACTCGACTGCTAATGTAGTCCTCTATGTGGTCGAAACTGTGATGTCCTTTCAATACTTCTCAGCTGATGTTCCATTCACTCAACCCCCAGGCTCCTCTTACCCACTTGTACACCTCAACCTTTTCAGTAAACAACCTACAGGTCCTCTGCTCACTCCAGGCTCTTTCCTGACTCTCCCCTTCCAACAAATCCCTCCTATCTTAAGCTCCTCCATCCTTTTAAACCCTTCCTGCACCAAGGCCCCAGGTCAGTTGCTAAATTCTTTCAGTTTTACATGACTGGGTGTCACTGTGTCCCCATTACTCGGTCCTTCCCTACCCTCTCTTTCATGCACTGCCATCAACCAAGAGCCTCCAGAATCCTTCTATCATGAAGCACTCCAGCTTGTTGAAATCACAATCTTTGCATACACATAGATGCTTTAAGGGGGATTTTAAAAACCTGGCTACTGGCCTCACCTAAAGACCTGTAAAAAGGTGTCAGGAAGAAAAACACTGGGAAGCTAAAACCAATAAAAGATTACAGGTTGCATCCCAATGAAGAAGACCGGGAGCGTTGCTTAGGCCACCAGGGACTAAGCTCTGACAGATTTAGGTTATTTGTGGATACATCGCCTTGCTAAAAGGTTGGCTAGCATTTTGCTTCCCACTGGGATCCCACGAACAACAGCTGCTCTGCAGCCACTTGGCCTGCGGATGCTCAACCTCTGACAGCTTTTGAAAAAGGGCATGTCCAATCCCTCCAGGCAGCAACTACAAATCCTGTCAAGCGTTTTCCTCTGCTGGTCTCTAGCCAAAAGAGATTTCTTCATTCTGCTTTGGACTCTTCTCCCACATTCAATCCAAACTGCCTTTCTGTCATGCCGTAACCTTCAGAAGTCTGTCTAGGCTCATGAGCTTTCCTGGTACTTAGCTAGTTGTTCTTTATTGATTTATTGATGATTTATATCTATATTGATAGTTTACTGATTGCTTCTTATATCTACGTACTTCCTTCAGAGATACACTTAATTACAGGTGCGTGTCCATTTTCTTCTGTCAGCCAGCCAGTTCCAAATGCAGATGGGTGAACTGCACTACAGCAACCACCAATTTCACTGCAATATTGCCACTGTGCACAGGGAAGGCAGGTGATCACTACTTTTACCACCCCCTCCTTGGACTTATGTCCTAAATAAGCTTGTCTTCAAACAGCAAAAGTCTGCTTCTTCTGCTTCTTCTGGACTGAGAACTAAGGGCAAAAAAGCTCAAAACCCTGCTACTAGAATGCTTTTGACCACACCATTTTAAGAGAGGTACCACATCATTCTACATGAATAACAAATACACCTTTCAGTGCTTGTGAAGACATCTAATTACCAGTGAGGTTATGGTCACTTCCATTTCACTAAGTATCAAACAACATTCACAAGATCCTTGGTGATTTATTGACAAATTCACTCTGCTGAGAGGACAGACAAAGTACTGTGCTACGTGTTCCTTTTATTTTAGTACAGCCACTTTTAGTACCAACTAATCTCAGGGTAACTTGTTAAGACTGGATCATGCTTTCACACACTGAGAGGTATTTCAGCACTTTCCAGGTTCACTCTCAAAGCCCTCCATTTCACAGCTCAGTGTTCTTCTTCACCAGAAATTCTTAATCTGGCCAATACTTGGTGTTTCTGTCCCTCTTATCTACTTTCTGTCTTCCTGGAGCTTGCTGAAGTCATCTCCTTGCCTCTGCACTGGGTCCACCCCACTGAACAGTGCTCAGAGCTGCAACTGGGAACACTGCTGTGAGAAGACCCAAAAAAAAGAAGAGGAAGGGCAGATCCAGTTTGCACCTGTCACCTGGATCACCACCTTCAACTGCACCCACAAATTTCCATTCTACTTTTCCCTGGATGCTGACAGCAGACAAGGACACTGTCCAACAAGAGTCCTGGGACTGCTCCTTTCTTCCATGTGGCCTCTTTGGCATCTCAGCCACTCCACCTTTCCTACTCACTTCTCATAGATCAGCTCAGTGGTCTGACTTACTAGTACAGAGGTGACAGCTATGGTTTATGTCTAAGTACGACAAGAAAATACTAACAGATTCAGCTTTACTCAGCTTCCCCACACATCTGCATCTGTACTGGGTTTACATGGCAAGGTTTTGGCCACTGGGGATCTTCAAGGGTAGCCTCTATGAGATGAAATCAGGGGCTGTGCCTTTGCAGGCAGAGCTGGTTCCAGCTGGCTCCAAGAAAGGCCCACTGCTGGCCAAAGCTGAGCCCATCAGCAATACTGGTGCCACTTCTATGATAACACATTTAAAGAAACGGGGAAACTATTGCACAGCAGCTGTGAAAGAAATAAGGAAAACGTGAAACAGCCCTGCAGACACCAAGTCAGTGAAGGGGGGGGGGGGGAGGGAGGGAGGGAGGAAGCCCTACAGCCCATGGAAAAGATCATGGTGAAGCAGGTTGTCTCCTTGCAGCCCATGGAGGACCATGCTGGAGCAGACACCCACCCTGCCTGTGGAGGACCTCACACCAGAGCAGGTAAGCATGCCCTTAAGGAAGCTGCAGCCTGTGGAGAGCGCCTACTGGAGCAGGCTCCTGCCAAGAACTACATCCCATGGGGGACCAACACAGGAGCAGTCCGTTCCTGAAGGACTATACCACCGTAGAAAGGACCCATGCTGGAACAGAGGAAAAGTGTGAGGAGGAAGGAACAGCAAAGAAAAAGCAGTATAAACTGACTACAACCCTCATTCCCCATGCCCCTGCACCACTTGGGGCAGGGGAGGAGATTGAAGAGTCAGGAACAGAAGAGTGAAGTTGAGCCTGGGAAGAAGACAGGGAGGTTGACGGGAAGGTGTCTTCAGTTTTGTCCCTGCTTCTCTGTATACTACTTTTTTTTTTTTTTTTTTAATTGGAAATAAATTAAATTAATTTTCCCCAAGTCAAGACTCCTTTTGCCTGTGGTAAGCAATTTCCCTGTCATTATCTCAATTCATGAGGTTTTTCATCTTATTTTCTCCCTCTGTCCTGGTCAGGGAGGGAGAGGATGGCTTGGTGGGTGTCTTGTCAGCCAGTCAAGGACAACTCATCAAGACCTCCTTTTCCCCTTCCTGTCTGATTGTTTGTTCTGAGTCTCCTTCAGCAACAAAAACAGCTTACTAGTACTGGGGAGACAACTTAGTCTCTGGAGGAGAAGAGGGCAAATTAGCCTTAAATGCTCTGCGCACAAAATATTCTCTCATTGTTTACCCACCTCTTATCAGAGTTTCATCTGGTCACTATGCCATAATAATAACAACTTACTTGCATTTGAAAATCTTGGAATTTTTGAATACCTTCAAAATTCTGTCCCCTCCTAGTCACATGATAATTTCAACATTAAAATCACACTCCAAAATTTAAAAATTGTATTTGGTTCCTTGGGTATGTTCAAGCTTCTCTCTGCAACCACAAGGAACAGGCTTCCTTCCTCCCTCTACTCATTCAAAATGAAAACTGAGAGAAATCAGA